TTTGGTATTTTGGAAAGTGGTTTTCGGGGTTGCTTGGACTGGCTGTCTTTCTCAGCATTTTTTGTTTTTTCCATCTTTGATTTGAGATGATAAGGTGTGATGGACTGATGGATGATCCATTCTTTATATAGGCTCTTCAAAGGTGTGATGGAAAATGGAAATGAACGGGTGCATGTTAAATGAAATATGTTAAAATAAGTGACAACTCTATTTCATTGTCAGCAGTTTTTTCATTTCCCATAAAGGAAATCTGTTAGTTGAATGGTTACTCAACTTATAAAAAAACGCACCTATTAATGGTGATCTTTCGAAGTTGAATGGTCATTCAATATTTGAAAAGACGCACCCATTTGATATTTTTTTTATTGGGACTAAGTCAGTTAGTAATCAATGTAATGCATTTTTAGACTGAAAAATAAATGAATAAATAAAGTATAAATGTGCGCATATTAATAAATAAATTGACTCATATCCTTTTAAGAATATCCCAACGCACATTGTAATAGTAATAGACGCATTTTAAATATATATTTGTTCCGTGAATTTTATGTTGTACATACACGTACACGCACGTTAAGTGTAAATGTAACGCATATTAAAGCAATAAGTTCCGATAGATTTGTACTTGGCACTGGAAATAAGTGAGAAGTCAATTTCGGTGTCAGCGATTTTTATATTTTCCATAATGGTAATCTTTCGAAGTTGGATGGTCATTCAATATTTTAAAAAGACGCAACCATTGATTTTTTTTTATTGCGTGTAAGTTAGTGAGCGTACAATATCATGCACATTAACGATGAAAGAGACGCATAGTAACGTGTTTAGGTGTGCATATGAGTGAATGAATCGACGCATTTTGCTATTTAAACCCACCATTATACTAGTCTCAATTCTGTCACTTACAAACACATTTTGCATTTGTATTTTCCCTTTTAGGCAAATTTTCAATAGCCGCTGAACTTCACTCTCAAATTGTTGGCAACCAACTTAGGATAGATCTGCGGTGGAATTTCATGAAGTTCCGGGTGGTTCGTGTTGTTAGGCTGCCAGAATCAAGAGGTTCTGAAAACATAAAGTCTATAGAGTGTGTGTTGCATGATTTCGAGGCATTTTTTTTATTTACCGTATTATAAATTTTAATATTTTATATTTCTAAAATTTAGTGTTTATGCATTTTTTTTAAATAATTGCAGGGAACTGTTGTACACATGCACATTCCACAAGCGCATGTTCAAAGGTGCCTCAACAAATTTGTAGTAGGCAAAGCCTATCTAATGCATAGGTTTGACGTGGCGTATAACACCTATAGAAACAAAACTTCGCCTCTCATGTATATTTTAGTGTTTTGCGATAGAACTCGCGCAGGAGTGCTGAAAGATGATGAGTTGCCAACGTATGTTTATGATGGAGAAGAATACAATTTCGACAAAGAGGTGACCTATTGCATACTTACAATTTTTTTAATATAATTTTATTGATGTATTTACAGTTTCATAACTTTCACGATTTTATGGATCAACAAGTGCCGGACGCGACAGTTGCAAATTTGCCTAATGAGGATAGAAATGAGGAGGAGGCTGCGTAAGGATGAATAACGATGCATGTGTGAACATTTTTTGTTTTTCATGTTATTTTGTTATTCCGTATTATTGTACTCCAACAATTTTTATTTTAATGATATATTATGTCATTATTGACGCATCTTCTTTTAAGAACACCCCATCGCACATTGTCATATTAATAGATGATGATAGATATGCATATTAAAGTAAGTGAGTGTACAATCTCATGCACACTAAGAATGTTAGATACACACTATAAAGTGTTAACACGGGAAAATTAATCAATAATAAAGTCTTCTAAAGTTGAATGGTCATTCAATACGTAAAAAAAAAAAAAAGGCACATTATGTTACTGTATTTTCTAATGCACATTATGTTACTGTATTGCGCATGTTAAGGTTTTTTTTTTATTTGCCACGGACTATAGTTTAAGTAGATAACGAAACGCAAATTTTGTTGCAGTATTACGCATATTGAGCGTACGTATTGCGCATGTCAAGCTTTTTGCTAGTTTTTAATTTTCAAGAATTGCTCTTTCAGGAATTGTTTTATTTGTTTTTCGTTTAACAAAATACAATAAACGCATGTTAAAGTGATATTTCGCGCTCTTAAATTTGTTTCCCGATGCACTCTAAACTTTTGGCTTCAAAAAATATCTTTTTTTCGATAAAAGTTAATTAAATGTATGTTTAAACGCATATTGTTCTTGTCGTCCGTGCATGTAACAGAGCAAAGCAAAGCACGTTAAGTGTTTTATAACAATCCACGTAATATTCAAAGATATTTGATGTCAGAACTTTAAGGCATTGGTAGTTGGGGATACGGATAACATTGAACGGTTATTCAATGCCTTAAAAAACGTGTCCATTAACGCAACATTGAAATCTTCAAATCAGTTCATTGCACCAAGTTATTCGCTTATAAATTGGAAAGAACAACACACAACTGAGTATCAGTTTTCATTGAAAATGGCTACCTCTCACGTGTCCGGACGTTCAGAAGAACCATCTCCTTTTATTCCTCATCTTGCATGCCCTCTTCACCCCCATCGCCCTCCAGATTGTAGTGATTGTAAAGAAATACAATGACAACACATTCTAAACCTGAAAGAACACTCGTCATCCTCAGCTGCAAGCTCGTCATGCTGCAACCAAACATCATTCAAGGCTGAGAGAGTTGAGGACATCCGACATCCCAAATAACACCTACGGCTACCAGGAATTTTTCATATACAACAAGCTTAGAGACCACGAGCCTACATGCATCCACACTCCTTGCTCATGTCCAAATCGAGCTCTCGTGGCAGACTGGCAGCATGTCGGATGATGCCGGAACTAGAAGAAATGTCTTCAAAGCACTAGAAAAGATGCACTGAATGTTATTGGTGTTGTTTCAATGTGTATTTACGTTTACAAATACTAATGTATTAGATTGTAAATTATTATTTTTATTAATATAGAAACCAACGCTCATTGTGTTCCAATATCACGCAATTTAAATTGTTATGTCGCGCATGTTAAATTCAAAGCATGTATGTGTCATTTTATATGCAAATTATTTCATAATCAAACAAAAGCACTTTAAGTTTTGCAATCGCACATACTAGACTAATTTTCAACGCAATGTCTGAAAAATTACGTTTTTATACATAGACCAACGCACATTACGTTTACGTGTTACGCATATATAAGTCGCAGTATAGTGCACCTTTAAAGTGTAAATCAACGCATATTAAGAATTAAATAGTCGTATATTGCTTCCTTTTAGATTCTTGATTAGTAAGTAGGCAACATATATTTTGGTATACAAGAAATAAACGGATGAGCCGACTGGTGAAATGGTAGAAGTCTTTGAATATATCAAATCCGCCCAGGATTGAATCCCCCCCAAAAGACTTAAAATATTTTTGGCAGGTAATCAACGCATCTAAAGACTTTGTTGTTTACCACGGAACAAAGATTTTATAAATAAACCAACGCAAATTACGTCTACGCGTTACGCATATTAAAAACAAGCTCTCATGTCTGCCTCTGTTGTTGTTATTAATAATATATTATAATCAAAATAACGAATGAACCCATTGGCGAAATGGTAGAAGTCTTTGATTAAAATGATTCTGCCCAGGATTGAACCTTCGTAAAAACTTGAAGTTTTTATTATATTTTACTCCGTACTTGTTTTTTGTTTAATAAAATATAATAAACGCATATTAGACTGATATTTCGCGCACTTTAATTGGTTTCCCGACGCCCATTGAACTTTTGGCTCTAAAAAATCATTTATTTCGATGCAAATTGATTAAATTTATATTTACACGCATGTTGTTCTTGTAGGTCGCGCATGTAACAGATCAAAGCAAAGCATATTAAGTCTTTTATACCAATCCACGGATAACATTGAATGGTCATTCAATGCCTTAAAAAACGCACCCATTAAAGCAAATCTTGAAAAATCTAATTTGTCTGTAAATCACGCAACATTGAAATCTCAAATCAGTGCATGTGACCAAGTTATTCACCTATATATAAATTATTACAAGGAACAACACACAAATGAGCATCAGGTTATTGAAATGGCTATCTCTCACTTTTCCGCAAGTAGAGAAGAATCCTCTTCATTTATTCCTCATCTTCTCTGGCAATTTCATCTTCCTCACCCTCTAGCTTGTAGTGACTTTAACTAACTACAAAAACAACACATTCTAAACCTGAAGCATCATTTGTCATTCTCAGCTTCAAGCACATCATCTAGTTTCCAAACAACATCCAAAGACTGAGAGTTGAGCAATTGTGGGTGGCTGGTGATGTGTCGGATGCTGCCAGAACCAGAAGAAATGTCTTCAAAGTTTTAGAAGAAATAAATATGTGCAATCATTTATGTATGTATCATTTTGTCTGCAAATTATTTCATAATCCAACAAACGCACTTTAAGTTTTGCAGTCGCGCATATTATACTTATCTTTAACGCGTCGTATATTAACTAATAATTAAACGCATATTAGAGAAAGAAAGTGTTAAATATTGTCTTTGTACGCATATTAACCTTTAATGTCGCGCAAGTTAAATGTTAATCGACGCATTTAAAGACGTTGGCATTTAGCACGGACCAAAGTTTCTATACATAAACCTACACACACTCTGTTTCTGTATTGCGCATATTAATGTTTAATGTAGCGCACTTTAAAAGTGTAATCAACGCATATTAAGAATTAACTTCACGCAGGTAAAGTAGCAATAACACGCATAATAACGTGTTTAAGGTGCGCATATTAGTGAATAAATTGACGCATTTTCGTTTAATAATATCCGATCGAACATTTTCATATCAACAGTCGCATTCTGCTAGACTTAAAGTTGTCACATACGAACAGTCGCATTCGTTTAAGAGTTTGCTATTTAAATCCACCATTATTCTCGACTCAAACCTGTCTCCTTCAAGCACATTTTTGCTTTTATACTCTACCTTGTAAAGAGAGTTTCAATGGCAACCGAACCCCACTCCGAAGTAGTTGGAAACCAACTTCGCATAGGACTGCGCTGGAATTTCATTAGGGTTCGAGTGCTTCGAGTTGTTCGTTTGCCAGAAATAAAAGGTTCTGAAAGAATCCGATCTATAGAGTGTGTACTTCACGATGTAGAGGTATTATTATTTTTTTAGTGTAATATAAATCTTAATATTTTATATTTATAAAATTTATTACTGTTGATGCATATGTTTTTTTTTTTAATAATTTCAGGGGACTTTTATTCATTTGCACATTCCACAATTGTTTGCGCAAAGGCGCGTCAACAGATTTGTGGAAGGAAAAGCTTATATACTCAGTAGATTTGACGTGGTCTATAGTACCTACAGAAACAAGACCTCTAGTCTTTGGTATATGCTGATGTTCTGTGAGAGAACTGGTGCAATATTATTGAAAGATGATGCTGAGTTCCCAACATACGCTTATGATCGAGAAGATTATAATTTCGATCAAGAGGTGATCTACTGCATACTTACATTGTTTTTCCTTTTTTATTTTATTTTATTTTTTTTACATAATTTTATTGATGTATTTACAGTTTAGTAACTTTCACGATTTGATGGATGAACAGGTGCCTGATGCTCCTGTTGGAAACTTGGCTAATGAGGATTTAATAAATGAGGAGGCTGCGTAATAAGGATTTATAACGACGAAAATATCAAGATTTTTATGCGTATTATGTCATTATTTGTTGTTATTTTCGTCATACAATTTATTAATGAATAAAATTTATATGTTATCATTTTATGTTTATTATGTGATCTATTTTGTTATCATTGAATATTGCCTTGGAACGCATATTAAGCTTTAATGTCGCTCAAGTTAACTGTTAATCGACGCATGTAAAGACGTTGGCGTTTACCACGGACCAAAGTTTCTATACATAATCCAACGCACGTTCTGTTTCTGTACTACGCATACTAAAGTTTTATGTAGCGGACGTTAAAAGTGTAATCAACGCATATTAAGAATTAATTGCACGCAGGTAAAGTAGTAATAACACGCACATTAAGCTAGTAGCAGTGATTGTTAAACACAAATCAGTGATAAAAACAAAAACTAGTAATGGCTGGACATTAAATTCAAGTATCTAAACTGTAAAAAGCATTCTGAAATGAGTTAACTAAGCATATGTGTTTCATATTTGCTATCCATTTTCGTCCTCGACTGTAAAGGCATTGAAAAAATAGTCTGCTATGCCTTTTTCTTACCCTTTTGCGTGTCCTTATTTTTGGGGTTAAGTGGGCAAGTCCTGGTGTCATGGTGATCTCCTCTAACACCAAAAAAATTGCACTTCCTGCCCTCTTGTTTTCCATTGCCAACTCCTTGCTGCTTTTGATGTGCTTGCCGTTGCCCTTGTTCGTTGCCTGTTTCGGTGGAAGTATGTTGATCTCTGAAATTTCTGTTGATCCACAATATGATTCTATAACAGTTCTCTTGCTGTGCTGAGGGGAAAATTTCTCCTTTCCTGACAGTAGCAGCTGTTTCTGTTCATTAATCACTTGGGAAAATGCAGTCAATTGCTCCATGTTTGAACTTGCCAGATCCATACAGCAGTGTATATCAGACCGCACTTTGTTCAGCAACATCTTCTTTTCATCCTTTGGTCCATTCTGATCGTAAATGACACCATCTATTTCAAATGTAGCTTTTAAAGACGCATCCTTAGTCCACCGATTAACCACGCACTTCAGAGGGATCCTTTCAAGGTCTCTAAAGACCACAAATATGTGTCTACACAACAGTCCAACCATCTCAAACATCTTGCAACTGCACTTGGCCTCATGGTCATTTACGTTGTGCACCACAGTAAATCTTTTGTTCTTTCCATCCATAATATCATAGTGCAACATTCCACCTTCTTCTCTAACACTCAACAGCATACATTTGAAACAGGAGGCACATATTTCTTCCTGAACTTGATAGAAAACAGTAATGGTGTAGACGATTGAAGCGTGCTTTTCAATCCCCAGAGGCGTCTTCATATCTGGATTGTAGCCTTCGTTGTCACTGTTGAGCTTTGCATTTGTATTACGTTGTGATTTAAGAGCACTGTCAAAGTTCATCATGAATTCAACTAGGCTTGATTGGGGACCAGTAAAACGGCTGTACGTGTAGTTCTCACTTTCGGAACGAGAAGTTGTTCTGAGTAAACCCCCCATAAAGCTATCTCTAAAATACGCTGGGATCCAATGCTTTCTAGCCTCAAACATAGTTGTAAACCAATTGTACTCGACTAAGTTGTACTTTTCCATGAGCTCTCTCCACTGCTTCTCAAAATCAGGAGGTCCCAAAGATGACGTCCAAACGATTGAGTTCAGTTTGTTCCTGAATTCCTCATCCTTGTTCAGCGTAGGACCCACCTTTTCCCCAACTTTACACATGATGTGCCACATGCAATAACGATGCCTGGCTTGCTTGAAAACTGTTGGAATCACCACTTTCATAGCTGGATCTTGATCGGTGACAATTATTTTTGGTTCCATACCCATTGCCTTTTTAAAGTTTTCAAAGAGCCAAACATAAGACTCAATGTCTTCTTTCAGTAGTAGTCCAGCACCGAATGTTATACATTTTTTATGGTTATCAACTCCGGTGAAGGGTGTAAAAACCAGATCGTACCTACAAGACAAAAAGCGTCATCACAGTATGCAGGTGTCAAACTGCCGCACTTAGAGAATTATAGTAACACACATTAAGTATTAAAATAGCACACGTATGTAATTGAGGTCTAATTCTGGAAATTCCGCATTAATATGCGAGACAGTAGCGTTTAAAATGCGTGGTATAAAACGACAATGTGCGCTTATTTATATTTCAACTCTTTTTCAATAAAACAGTGAACGTGTCTAAATCGTAACATGGCTCAACAGATTAGGCAATGCTAAATGTGTATTAATTAATGAAACGTACGCAATAATGTGAATAGAATAATATATACCTGTTTGTTGAGTACGTGGCATCAAAAGAGACAACATCTCCAAATGCAGCAAAATTCTTTTTTGACATTGGATCTGCCCAAAACAGTCTGCTCATCTGCCCATCTTCATCAACTTCGTAGTCAAAAGAAAATGCAGGGCACATCTCTTGTTTCTTAATAAGATTATGCACTAGTATTTGTGCATCAGCTCCCAATATGTATGCTCTGAGATCCCTTCTGACATTTTTAAAGTCCACTACAGTTGCTCCAACTTCAAAGTAATCCCCCACAATCTGACTGTATAAACCGTGTGATTTTGATGCTCCAATATTTTCTTTAGCGCAATCTAGTATAAACTTCTGGTGAACACTTGAGATGTTTCTATTTCCCTTTAGAAACTGCCTTGCTAGAACCGAAGACATGCTGTGATTATGTTTTTCAATAAAAGTTGTAACTTGGTACCCAGCTGCTCCAATGTACTTAAACATAATCCTAGCTCTGCAACCAGTTCTGTTTGAAACCCTTCGCCGCTTTGGACGAGAAGGACCTTCCCCTGCATCTGCACTTGACTGCGAGTGACAATGTTGAGCTCCTGTATTCTTAAATCCTTCTCTATTGCAAACAATTTGGTTTTGAATTTTTGTCCCGTCACGTGCTGTAACGACGGAACTAGACCTCGTGTCAAACCCAACTTTGGAAGCATAATGTTTGTAGAATTCAATACCAGCATCCAATGTTTTAAAAATCATGTCTACCGCTGATTTGATTTCATCTTCACAGTGAGGAGTCTAATACTGTGTCATTCCTGGAGATATGGTCAACGTATGACCATTGCTGCTGATGCTGGGACTCAAACTGGGGTTGTTGGTAGATTGAATGTCAATGGGAACTGTAACATATAAGCATGAAGTTATGATTGTGTTGTTGCAAGCCTCTACGTGCGTAATGTGAACACTTAATATACGTTAAGTTAATCAGATCATTGTCAATATGGAAGATTTATAAAATACTAGAGTATGTGCGGCAAGTGAGAAATTAACGTGCTTCAGGGTAATAGTTAATGTGCGCATGTTAAACAGTTAACATGCGTGAGTGTTTGTTAAAATATTATGTCATTACTTAACGTGCGTCAGAGAGTCCAGTAATATAACATGCGTTTGGAAAGGAATTAATGTGCGTGTGATCAACGGATAACATGTGTGAGGCAAACAGTAATATGTGCATTTTTAAAAATTATCATGCGGCTACCTAATCATCTACGTGCGTAAGGCTCTAGGCTCAGATTAATTAAATTAGCTCAGTAATTCGGTGGTTAAGTTGCATGCTTAATGTGCGTGCAATTAAGACAAGAATGATGCCAATACAAATGCAGATAAAACTAATTCCAGAAAAGCGATAGAATTTGGGTAATACCTCGATCGAATTCTTCCATTGTTCTTCGGTTGACATTTTTGATGGGTTTAGGGTTTATTTTGACGAATATGATATTGAATGACGAAGAGAATAGATCTTATTGCCAATTCCGTAGAGATCATAAATTCGTCTGAGATTAGGAAATATAGAAGATTAGGAATCAATGGTGAATTTTGAAAACGCTCGAAGAAGAAGAAGAACAGTTTTTTTTTTAATATAATCAAAAGGACAAAAATGCCCTTAATGAGCAATTCGCGCTTAATTTTTGCTATTAATCGGATTCGTTCGATCAAAAGCTACCTGAGGCTTAGATTTAACCTCATTATTCACGGGAAGGAGTAAATGCACGGGAGCCCTTCCCTATATATATATATATAAAGTGCTGCACGGACCAATCATTATTGTGTGGACCATGGTTCACACAAGCTCTGTGGACTATATTTTGTATGTTATAAAACAATGTACATTTAGTACAAAAATAATGAACTTTTAATATATTAATAATGTACATTGTATTCACTTTTCAGGGAAAGTACATTATTTGAGTACTGAAAATATATTATTTTATATAATGTACATTCAATACATAAATAATGTACATTTAGTATATTAAAAATGTACTTTTTTGTTATGGTCTACACAATAATTTACCACACTGGAGGCTGCCATTACTTGATTGGTTTATTGTATGGCGTTATTTTTGGACCATACATGATCTATACAGCTGTGTGAATTATGGTCCATCATATAACGATTGATTTCTAATGTGACCAGCCAATTCCAACCAGTTTAGCCAATTATGCCTTTATGGCTAACCATTAGAGATTGACAAGCTGCAAATGGAAGTTCATAATTTCCTGTAAATGGAAGTTCATAATTTCCACAACACACCACAAACATCATAAGAGCTGAGACATAATAAGAATTCCGATGAAACTTCACAATACAACATTATCATACATTTCAATGAACCATTGTTTTGATACAATAACAGTTCAACCAACCAACCAACATTATGGAAGATGAACTCCAACAGCAACTCAATGAATTAAAACATCATTGTGATAACAGACAAACAAACCCAATGAACCATTGTTTGGATAGAGTAAGTTCAGAACAAACATCTCAAGCAAATACCAAATCATATTTAACACTAACACTTCAATGAATCTCAGAATCCAATATCAAATACAACAACCAACCACATGAACTCCAACATCAACATCATTGTAATAATAGACAAGCTGCAAATGAGAACACCACAACTTCAGGCAGCCAGGATGCATTTCTGGTAATGAAGCCAATGCATCATTGTAACTTGTATATGATTCCCTTCAAGAAACACAAACGGAATATGATATGCATACCTTGTAAATACCCAAAATAAAATGTCTAAATGAGATGGTAGCTAGGTTTTGATGTTCCATTGGTAATATGATATGCATACCTTGGTTAAACCAGATTTCCTCAAACACAAAATTATCAAATTTCATTCTCATCACTCCTTTTTTCCGAGCTTTCATTGGTTGGCAGCTCAATCTAATAAAAAAATAAAATTAAAAATCAGAACAATTAAGAAAAAATAGGAGAGGAAGGAGGGATTAAAAAAAAAAAGAATAATAGAACCAAAAGACTCATAAACTATTTATCAGAATTCGTAATGAGAAAGACCTTAGTTACATCATAAACAATAAGTCCTTCATATCCCAAGTCTCGTTGTGCTTGTTGGATCGCCTTCGCTGAAGTCACAAGAGAAGAACAACAATTGCCTAACTCAATTAATTGCAATGTACAAACCTCCTCAAAATCATTTGGAAGTTTTTCCAAGTCCCAACAATATCTTAGAATTAGATGCTCCAAAGCTGGGAAATGGTTTGCATTTGCATTCCAATGTTCGAGATCAGAGCGCTCAATAAGCAAGAACCTTAGTTGTAGAAAACCCCCATCCCTTGGTGTCCACTCTGGGCCGCAAAAAGCAAAATCTTTCAATTTGAGTAAATCAAGGTTGGGTAAATTGCCAATAATGTTCATATCTTCCCATGAAAGATACGTGTTACTAAGGAACAATTGCTTGAGGTTTAATGGAAAACAATTTGAGAGATTAAACCGCTCTACCCTTCCCGTTTTAACCTTTAACTTCTCAAGTTGATGTAACTGAGCAAGGCTGTCAAGAGCATTAGGCAATACTTCACCTTCAATGTAGATCCCCAATTCCTTCAGGTTTGGAACTTTTGTAAAGTTTATTGTTCTTGAGTTCCGGCCGGTGACTTTGAACCATGAAAGAGTTTGTAAATTTTCTTGAACCAAGTTTGGGAGATAAGATGAAGATCCTTTGTCAAAGCGCACATGCCTTAACCATGGCAAATCCAAAACATCACATGGTAGTTGCAATTGATACTCTTTTGTCCATGCAGAGAGAATGAGAGTTTGCAAACTTTGGAGCTTAAACAATTGAGAGTTACAAACAGAACCTATAGTTCTTAGGGCTAAATATCTTAAATGAACCAAATCCACAATCTCGCTAGGCATGCCATACCAATATTTTATTGATGATAAGTCCAATATTCTTAACAACTTCAAAGATGAGAATATCGACCAGCACTTTGTTAGATATAAATTTTCATCAAAGTCGAAAAGGGAACGAGTTTTAAGTGAAGAGTTAGTAAGATAACTTGTAGTAATCGGCCAACAACCATAGTGACTACTTACCCAACGACGCCCTTCAAGAAACTTATTATATTTCGGCGTACTAACCATCATCATAATATCCTCATGAATTGCTTTTCTCAAGCAAAATATATGCAATATATCATGAAGCATACATGATTTGATTTTTCTATCCAAACTCCTCTTGTGAATTTGAACTAGCCTTCTATTGGTAAGATCATACAAATAATCTTTAGCTATCTCTTCTAAACTCTTGTTCATTTCTGGGTTTACAAATCCTTCAGCTATCCATAACTTTATCAACTTCTTCACATGAATTTCTATATTCTTAGGAAAAACTCCCAAATAAAGAAAACATGCTTTTAGTTGAGTAGGCAAATAATTGTAGCAAACTTTAAATGTGTAATACCATAATTCTAAATGACCTTCGCATGATGAAATGGTGAACAGAATATCCTCCCACTGCCTTGGTGAGTTGTTGAGTGTGCCCAGAAGTCCACCAATCAAAACAATTACTAGTGGTATTCCCATACACTTGTCAACAATGCTTCTGCCTATTATCTCTAATTCAGGGAGTAAACTACTGCATAATTTTCCATTAGACGTTGCAGTTTTGCTTAATAATTTCCAGCTTTCTTCTGGATTCAGAAAACGTGTTCTGTAAATGCACATACCTGAGCTAGCAAATGTTGCCACTCGCATAGTTTGAGTAGTTATCAGAACTCGGCTTCCATTTCTATCATCTGGAAAAGATGTACCCATCAATTCATTCCATGCCTCCTTTGACGCCAAAAGGTCATCAATGACAATGAGATACCTTTGGCCCATCAGAAGTTTGCGGAGTTGCTCTGCTAGCTGCTCATCATCTTGATCTTGTTTGGAGATTTCTTCTTTGTTCAATGACACAATACAACTTAGAATATCAATGAGTAGATTTGTCTTATTGTGTTCTTGACCTGCAACCGTCCATGCTTGAATGTCAAAGTGATGCACAATTGATGGATCTTTGTAAACTTTTTTGGCCAAAGTAGTCCTTCCAGTGCCCATCATTCCCACAATTGAAACGACTTGTAGTTGAGTGGACGAAGAAGTTTGAATGAGCATGCCTTTTATTTCCTCAACATCACCTTCGACTCCTATCATAGTATCCTCAAAATCATAGTTGGAGGAGGAGGAGGAGACACCATCCCTGACGTTCTGTGGTGTTGATGAAGAAGAAGAAGAAGAAGAAGAAGAAGAAGAAGAAGAAGAAGAAGAAGAAGAAGAAGAAGAAGAAGAAGAAGAAGAAGCATCATGAATTGAGGCTGTATGTCTGGTTTGCAGATCTCTGATGCGCACCTCAACAGACTCAATATCCTTCACTACTTTTTGCAAGCTCCGATGAAGATCTTCACAAGCTGCAGCCTCACCCTGGTGCTGGTTAGCCGCCAAGTAAACTTCACCCACTTTGGATTCAATTTCGCCTTCTGCTTTCATTGCAACATCTCTGATTTCTTTAACCAGCCTTTTCCCTGCCTGGCGATCGGGATCAGAGGTAATTACAGGCTTAGGTTTGTGAAGATAGGCCTGCAGGACATTGAGCTTGTCCTTTAAGGTGGATAGGATGAATTGAGCATCATCAGGAAGAATGAAACAAGGATTTTTATGAAGAAGAAGAAGCTGTAGTTGATCTACTATTCCTAGTAGACTACTTACAACAACACATTCCATCGCTGAATTGAATTGCTTTTTTCTCAACTACTGATGGATGGATCGGAGAATTTCCAATTGGCTATACTATGGAAATATTTGGTTGGTGTATGGGAGAAGAAGAATTATTTGTTTGGTGTTATAGTTCAAACAATAATTAAAACAAGAGATAATAATTAAGGGTTCATTTCTCTAAGCATTGCATGATTAATTGATTGTTTAATTAGATGACTCATCAATTACATTGGATGGATACCCACTAAATTACACAAAATATAAGTTGACTATATATATAATAACAATAGACAACCTAAGTACCTAACATATTAATTGTCATGATAATATTAAGATTTCGTTTTTCAAATAAATATAACAATAGACAACTAGCATACTAGTTGACCAGTTGTCATGATAATATTAATATTTTCTCTCAAATCTTAACTATAATAAAGCTATATGGCTTGAGAAGTAATTAATGTTACAATTATTATTTTGGTGAGTAATTATTGTTACAATTATTATCTCTATCCTTATTATTATAAAATAGCCACAACATCCTTTACTATATAAAAAAAAAAAAAAACACAACATTTGAAAAATAAAATAACTATTTTTTTCTCCCCCATAACAACGGATTACATTTATTTTAAATTTACTCATACAAAATTTGAAATTTGCTTTCTAAATGTAATTATCTTAGTTATTATTTGTATTGTGAAAATTATAATATAGATGAAATACAATTAAGAATAAATCAATGTAATTATGTAAATTCTCTCAATAAGTTCATTTGAATATGTACATAATTAGAGATTATATTAACCATGCAAAATTTTAATTTTAATTGTAATTTTGTATTTTATAAAAAAATAATAAATACTTGACCGATGTAAGCTCAAAAATATTATTATATTAAATAATTAAAAATATTTTTATTTTTTCTATTTTTTCTATTTATATTTATAATAACATCATTTTTTCCGTGCATCGCGCGGGTGAATTACTAGTTAAATATAATTTAACAATAGATGTGAAAGACCTTTTGGTCTAGTGGCACCAAGGTGCTTTCTAAAGAAATATTAGAAAATGACCTAGTTGCTAAAGACATTTTAATTTTTTTTTTTTCCGGATTTGATGGAGGGGTAACTCGGTACAAAGAGTTATATGCTTCTCATTATAATCATCCTGGTGGAGCCGTGGGTAACCTGGTACACAAGACTTTAAAAATGATATACAACACATATTTTAGGATGTAGTATAGATTAATATACTGAGTAGAAGATAAGTCTGTTGCTTTATTAGCACACTTAACTTTAAAAATATTTAGCATACTTAGCATAAGAGTTAAAAGTATATTGTAAAATTTCATGCAGGGAACAAGAGAAAATCAACATAAGAAACACGTACAGCCACAACGAAACAACAATGCAAAGACACACGGACATACTGATAGGACAACAGTATTGTGGATGTCTCACATTAATCAAGTCTGTAAATATTAAAGTCAAATGTGAAAATGGGCAGATGTTTAAAACCTTGGGCTAAGGTTTTGTTAGGGATGAAGTTTGGAGGAGTAAATGTATGGGATGCGGTTTGCTTGGCATAGGTTTGAGTAAAGAGAAAATCTGGAGTGGATTTTCATTCTTTGACTTGCAAATCTCTAGGCATTTATTGTTGCATTAAATGCTTGCGAAGAGGTTTGTGCAAGGGGAAAAGCTTGGGCATAGGTTTGTGCAAAGGGGAAAAGCTTGGGCTAAGTTTCTTTTGTTTGCAGGAGAAGAATAGCATTAAATGCTTGGAAATTTCTAGGCACATGGGTTGCTAGCTTGGAAATCTCTAGGCACATGAATTGCTATAAATATGCAACATCTCTTCATTCATTTTGTTGGGCTAGGGCTTCCCTCCTATGTGGTAAATAGCTCATTTTGGACCAAGCCTATTCCATTGCAATATTTGTTAGCTTGATGGAAAAGTTTGCTGACAATTGTTTGGGTTGGAGAATGGGTTATTGGGTAGAAGTTGAAGGGTGGAAGTTAGAGTGAAGGAATTTGGGTGGAAGTTGGAGAGAAGAGTTTTTGGGTGGAAGTTGGAGAGAAGAGTTTTTGGGTAGAAGTTGAAAGCTATCCTTCCTTCCCTCCTTTCCCCATGTCGGCAGTAAACATTATAAAAGGGGGATGAACCCATTTGTTTACTGCTATCACCACTACACCAGACACTTCTACATACTACACATATTCCATTTATATTTTTCGGCAGAAGCAGTAGGCCAAAAAGAAAGAAAAATTCAGTTTTCTTTCTTTCTCCTTTCACGGCCGTATGCAGCAGTTGAAGGAGCAACATCTATTTCTTCTTCTTTTGTGCAACTTTGTCATGGGTTTGCCTAGCTTCTTTGGTGGCACGGCAACAGCGTGTGTCGGCAGGTTTTGTCGCACGTCTGATGGATTTGTCGTGAGGTTTGCCGAAGATCTTTGTGATACTTTTCTTCATCAAATATTTGTAGAGGTCAGTGTTTGTTCCAGGCATCATCGTTTTGGGTAAGCTCGTAATATTTGAATTTTTTTCACCTTGTTCATGGTGGTTGAATATTTTGAGTACGAGTTGGTATCCCTTTTAGGCCTGTGAACGTGATAGAATGTATTTGGCCTAGAGTTGTTGTATTTGATGATTTTTAGGGTGTTTGGCTCGGGTGGTAGCCAGCAACTTTGTACCCAAGATTTATTATAGTGGAATATTGTGTTGGTGGTGGTCTGTGATTTTTTCCCGTGATTTTGGGGTTTTCCACGTAAATCTTGTGTCCCTTGTGTCTGTTATTTATTTTGGCTGTTTTGTACATCTCGTATTTGCGCTCTTGTCGGTCCTGTGATTTTATTTGTCACAGGTGGTGGGATTTTTCCCAACACATTTATCCCATCAGATCTGTATCATCCCATTCGAAATATAGAGAATAGTATAGCAAAATACAGAGAGTAAAAATAGAGACTTATATTTGTAATTCCTATTGTAATATCCTTTTGCTAATAAAGAAAATTCTTTTTCAAATTGCCGTATTCTGTGCTTGATTTACTTTAAATCTTACACTAGAAATATTCTCAATATTTCCAGTTCAAGTTGTTATTGTAAATTTGGTGTTGTGAACCATATCGATCCTAACAAAGTCTAACTCTCTGTTTTGATCATTCTATTCTTGTGTACTATCTCCTTTTGAATAAGTGTTATTAGTCTGTTTCCTGCTATTAGTTATGTTGTATCTTTGTGTAGTAGTCTTAGACAATCATTGTTTCTACAAAATATACATTGTATTTATTACCATTGCATTTTATTCAGAAAAAAAATTTCAGACCTTTGGAAACTGAATCTGGGATGATTAGACAGCTGTTTGACTATTGTTCATGAATCATGATTGCAATGGTTTAACCTTCATTTACGAAACAAAAGTAGTTTCTAGTACTAATTAAATGCATTTTCTTATCTCTTTTGCTGATTTTATACGTTTTCCTGATTTGTCCTTTGTGCTTGGTGTTTCAAGGAAATTCAAAGATTGATGTCTATCAACTCTCTAGATTGGTAGCATGCTACTTCTTGTGTCATATTTTGCAAAATTGGAGTCTCTGATGTATATTCTAAAAATTATGTAAAACTTGATAAATCTTCTAAAACATCAACTTCGTCAAATTTGTATCAATTCTTGACGTGGAGACACAAACGTGCAGACAGACGTTAAAGGTGAGTGCATTGAATTCGTGGGAAAATTTGTTATGGCTAACCTAATGTTTGAAAGTAATAATTTGCTGGGGCAACCCTAGCCAATTTGGTCAGATTGTTGGCTTGGTAACCACAAGGTTCCAAGTCCGACTCCTAGCGGGAGCGGCCTATTGATGACCTTCTTGGTTTGAGCCAGCCAGTTAGCTATAAGCAACCTCGGTTGGTTTACTTTCTTGTGATCCTTTATTAGCTAGGGATTACCTATTGCACACTCTTGAGTAGTGCCTTATACATTTGAAATAGTTTATGCGAACAAGTTATACCCTCTTGTTGCCCCAAACAACAGGACAATTTCTTTACATTATAAATTACTTTAAAGAGTCGTCGGTGTATTATCTTTCTCATAGTACTATTATGTTATCTTTCTCAGTACTCAATCACTGGCCATTAGTGTGAGCTACTATTATGTTGTTCTGTCTGTCCTTGTGTTCCTTAAAGTATGGTGTTAAGGATCAATTCACACAGTATGCTGGGACCCTTCAGGCGAGCATCTGGCTTCAGTTAGCAAGGACTATGTGAGAGTGTAGACACTGGGTTCAGGAAGCGAAGGGAATTGTGTACACGAACTTAGTTCAAACGGCAATAAATTTCACTCATGTGTTTTTCATCCTTCCTACTCTTCATTGCTAGTTATTGGCTGTTACCAGGCAAGTTATCAACCTATGTCCACTCCTCTAGATATAACTTTTAATTTGCATCCATTTATGAATGTGATTCTGTGCTAACTAACTAGCCAAAGGGCGTTTCTTGCAGTCTCTAGAGCTTTGGAACATCACCGAAAACAAAACGATGACGCTTCCTGCACATGAAGGATTGATTGCTTCTTTGGATGTATCGACAATGGCGGGTTTAGTTGCTTCAGCCAGTCATGACAAGATCATTAAGCTTTGGAAGTAATGACAACGCCATTGCTTCGATCCGATGCTGCAACCTTGTTTTTCACACC